TGTTTGTGGGTGTATTAATACAAATCATGGGTATCTTAATGACCCAGCCATGCAAATCTTACAAACCTAAAAACCTAAAGGTATTGAAGGTACCTGAATCTTAAAACACTGAATTATAAGAAAATCATTTAAATAGAAATGAAAATATAAGTGAACATGTAGCAATCCATTCTGTTTTGTTTGTTTTTAATGTTAGGAATGATGACATGAAAATATCTTCTCGTTATTCCATTTTGCATTTAGCTGACAATGAACAGAAGTTAGTTGATTTAAGTTAAGTTTTGATAAACTTCTTACTTGAGATCCCGAATCTTCATCCTCTCTTATAGGATAATTCCATTTTAATCACCAAACTTGGCATCCGTTTTGGATCTGTGACTAACATTTATAAGGTTAGGCTATTTAGTGCATTTAAACTGATTGTGACCTAGAACAAGGACTGCCTAATCTCTGAATTTAGATACAGAGATGTGTTAGGGTTAAGTTCAGACTGAAACAAAGATAATTTAATTTTTTGACAGGTGAGAGTGGTGTTCAGTTTACAGCCCTCCCTAACATGAGGCGGACATTTATAGGGGATGGAAGAAGACCTAACATATGCAGGAAATGGAGAGACCAAGATAGGGAGTGGGTGACTGTGTTATCAGTCATTAAACTGAGAATTATTGCAGTAATATTTTACTTTTGAGAGTCCATGATAAATGAGATTTCCATAGCAAAATTTCTAGATTAAGAAATTGTACTGGGTATTTGAAATATATTTAGTTTTCTTCTTAAATACTATTGAAATATAAAGCTTTTAGGAATTTTGTTCTGTCATAGTCTATAAAAATTTAGGGAATGTTTCAGAGAAACTAGTAGAAAAATGTGTTAAAGACTATGGGAATTGTCTTTAAATAGAAATTTGGAGGAAAAAAAACTGTGAGAAGTTATAAAGAAAATTAAAGTTTACTGTGGCTTTCTATCTATACAAACTATTTTTATCTTGCAGAATTCCAGTGCCCAATCTAGTGGATAGCTGGGCATCACTGTTGATACTTCTGAAAGACTCTATACAACTGAGTCTTCCAGCTCCAGGGCAGTTTCTTATACTTGGGTAAGCAATTTCACTTAAAAATATGATTTTGAATAAAAGGATAACGTTTACTGTCCTAATTGCTGAGTAACAGATGTTTTGCGTGACCATGTGATCTCTCCATCTTCTCAAGGTACAGAACTAGATGTATAAGGTCTGTAAAAAAGACAAGGGCTGAGGGGAGGAAACAATGTGTGTTTATACAAATACAAAATGTAAATGCACTAGCATAAAACTGTTAACAACGGTAGTTATTTTTTGGGGAGAACATGGGATTGAAAGGGGAAGGGGTGAGTAGCATGACTAAAGGGGAACTTCATAGAGGAGAGGAGCATTTGGGCTTGACCCTGAACATCAACTGGCTTGGAAAAGTCATTTTCTCTTAGTGTCTTGGAATTTCTTGATCTATGTCAATTTGTGTGATTATTTGATAAATGATGGTCACCCATAACTGCAAGCACCATAATGTTATAAATAATGTCTGTTTTTTGCTCTCCATTATTCTTGATTCATAATAGGTTCCCAGTAAACACTGGCTCAGTAAATAAAGTTGGTAGAAGCAGAAAACCTTTGTGGAGACAGGAAGGGGAAGGATATACAAGGGCAAAATCCATTACCTGGTTTGGTGATAGAGTAGGGCACAGGCAGTAGAATGGTGAGAAATAAGGGTGGATGAAAAGGGAGATAAGAGCTAGATGGGGAAAGACCTTGAATTTTATTTTTTTTTAAGGAATTTGGGCTTGGGGGAGGAGGGAGGGTAGGAGTGGTTGCAGGTTTTGAGGAAGGACATGACTCTGGCAGGTTAGTGGTAGGACAGATCATAGGGGAAAGAGGCTGGGCTAGGAATTCTGTTCTAAGTGGGGGGTAGAGAGAACTATTACAGACGGGATTGAAAGAAC